AAAAAAATTGCATAACAATATGAAAAAAATCGATATATATGAGCCCTATGTAAATTTTCGATGCTAAAAGCTTCGTGCGAGCATGAAGAAAATGGCGCAATCTGATTGGTCGAGATGTTCGCCTAATTGGCTGTCCAACCTCCTCTGATTCCCAACCTGCGAAATTCCAACCTGCAACCTGCGTTTTGTACCTGCCGAAAGCAAAGTGTATTGCACATGTTCGCAGTTGTGAAAATGTACAACTACCTGAAAAATACAAGGAGAATTTCGACGTTTCGAGCGAGGGCACTTCGACTTGTGCTGTTAGTGTTTGTATACATCGTACTTGACCTTTTTATTAAAATATTATATACTGTCGTACCCACTGATCTGAAATAAGACCAGTGGTCGTACCTACGTATACCATAAATTCTGACAGGGGAGTTAAATGTAAATTTTAAAGCACATATATATTATACTCATTCTTGAAGAGATTATATTTATCAGTATAAAAGGTCAAGTACGATGTATACAAACACTAACAATACATGTCGAAGCGCCTTCGCTCGAAACATCGAAGTTGTGCTTGTATTTTTCAGGTAGTTGTATCCCTATCAATCCGAAGCTTTCCCCCAGAATTTTTAGTTGTTTTCAATTCGATTTCAGTGTAAAAAGTATCAAATTTTCGACGAGAAATTCTAAATACTTTGTTTATATTTTGCAACAATTGCCACTTTTATTTCCAACTTAATAATTGACAACTCTCGAATTCTTCACACTATTAATTCTCGCACACCTAATTTTATCTTGTTGCTTGAAGCTCTATATCATTATTCTATGTCTATATATCAAGTACCATTCACCCAGTTTAAACACTGGACTCAAAGCCAGCACTTAATCTATACAGCCACATTTCATCACACTTACATCTCACTGCACCTGTCGTGGTTCTGATTGAGACTTCCGTTATGTCATCATGCCTTGCCAACTTGTATATAATACCATTTATATATTGTAACTATAGTTAGTCTGATGATGATTTTGTAATAAAATCGAAATATTACTCACTCACTTTCTTGTTTGACTCATATTTTGGGTTTCAAGATGCTAATCTTCAGATTATGTTTTGTACTATGACCAGTGGCGTAGCCAGCCCGACGATTTAGTTCCGCTGTGCAAATATTGCCATGTTTATAAACTATCAACACAATCAATTTCTAAAGAAATGAATAAATGATGAGTTGAAATTTCCCTAGCAGGACCAAATCGTTGGGCTGGCTACACCACTGACTATGACCTATTAAAAATATGTACATTTTACTAAATGTTCATCAAAGACTTCATTAAACACATAGCATATTACCACCCAATGGGTAAGGAAACTAGTACCAAAAAACAAAACAATAAACAAATACCAAAATATCAACCCTCGAAAACGAGGTCAGCATTCGGCAATGCCAACCTATCAACCTCCCAGATCGGCAAATTTTTGCCAACCTTAATTCAGTCTAAGTAAGAATTTTTTGGTGCTGATTGCTGTTAAAAAGTTAGCGATTATCGAATTGGATTTGTAGTTCGATTAACTAAACACACTTCGGTGTAAGGTTTAAAAATTGACGGGTATTCCATATATAATTTAGGTAATTTCAGACTCCAAAAGAAAAGCCGTCATGTTACTGTAATTTGCGTTTCCGCGAAAAATGGCATGCTTTATATTCCAATTTCAATGATTTGTAAATACGCGATTACTAGTGCTCTAAGACATGGAAACAGATTTAAAAAAATGCTGAGACGTGCTGACCATATAGGCATTTTTTTGCCAACCTCAATCCTGACGGTTTTCGAGGGCTGAAACATAATGCATAATCATACCGTTAACATTCCTTTGGCTGTGGTTTGAACCTGCTGTTTCAGCATTTGACACATCTACAAAATATGACATTAATATATCATAGACTATTCAATTCAAACAAACTTGGAATTCTTACTAAAAAAACTTACTTTCCACTTTTTACCGCATTTGAAATATCGTAGTCGTAGAAAGTAAACTTGCATGACCCAAAAAATTAAAATTCTCAGTTTATATTTAATTAACAAGACCAACATATTCAGTTTTTCAGAAAAAATTGTAAACAGCTAGAGGATATTGCAAAAAAATATGGACATAATACCATTTGTATACGGGTGTCTGTAAAACCCAGAACCCCACCTGGAACACCTGCAACCATGTTTGAATTGTGGCATGAATTATGAATTATCGGTAATTGGTAACTTCCGATTGCTGCACAATCGGTCAATCACTTCTTCCAAGAAACTGCTCAATGTAAACATGTTTAAGCTACTGCAAACAACATAGTCCAGAGGTAGTCACAACTATATATTAATGCAAAAGTATAAATGGATTTCAATTAAAAAATCCAATTCCATTCCGGTATAGAAAAATAACTACCTTTTGTGTCTCCTGCTAATTCTCTTTCGCGAGTCCAGTTTTGTAGCACTATGTATTTAAACATGTCATATACAACAGATGCTGCCATTGTACTAGAAAATTGCTTCCAAGATTCTGACACCTCTTCACTTTCCCCTGCCGAACCGGACACTCCTTTTACAATAGCCCATTCCATCTTAAGATCACATGCTGCTTCATATAGCCCTAAAATTTACAGGGAAGCACAAAATAAAAAACCTTTGGATGCAAATATGAGAAGACATACATTTAATTTTATAGATCTCCTGCTGATGTATTTAGCAGGCAAATTGCACATATGAACCTTTCACATTCAGGCTTAAAATGTTAAAAATTAATTTCTGCTAATTTCTATTAACTTCAACTGTTTGACAATTTTTTTCATCAGCTTTAAGCCTTTCTGGTAGCTGGTATGGAGTACACAGATGGTCGAACTACTCACTTGTAGGAAGTTTCTACCTACCTCTTCCCCCGTCTTCAATAACAAGTGCATCTGGAAAATCTTTTTGTAAGTTTTTAAGACTTTCACGATTTTTAATTTTATCTGAGCCACTTATCATCAAAGCTGTTTTAACTTTCACTTTTAAACTTTCCGGGTCTTTTAATGGTGGTTTCCAACCATGACCTGCAGACAGAATCAAAGTTCGCACATTTCGACTCACTTTTGGTAGGATTCTATCATCATCATAAGTTGCTAATTTCGTAGCAATCACAACATCGCCAGGTTTCACCTTAATTGTTCTTTCCAGGGTTTCACAGGTCCCAACCAAAATGGTGACTTTGGGGTGCAGAACGTGAGCAGCATTTGTCACAGCCTTTAGAGTTTCACACACTCCCTCGTAATGTTTCATTAATGCGACTTTCACGCTCTGGTGCTTGTGATTCGTATCTTTAAATTCACCAAAATAGACAAATCCAAGTGTGTTATGATACACTTTTTCAACGTGTTCCATAAGTGAGTAACAAGGTAAGAATGCTTCATCAGTTGCTGTCATTAACAGAAGTTCTGTTGGTACTTGTGATTGATCCCCCCTACTTTCCCATGGTATTGGGATGTCATCAACATCCTTCAGTGCTTTGATTGAAATGCTGAGTTCTGGTGGTGGTCCTTTGAAATGTCGAGTTCTGGTGGTGGACATTTAATAAAATGATAAAAATTGGCGATTTGCAAGGGCGCGGAAGCCCAGCAGTAAAGTTAGAACACAGACGCGAATAATAACAATCCTTTTATTACATTTCTGAAACGAGGGCCGAAAGAGCCAGCGTTATAAAATGGGGCTTTCTGGCTACGTCGGCTGTAATGTAAGTCTGCGAAGTAGGAACTAGTACATAGGAAGTCACTTGCGTTTGTATATTTCACAACAATCATTAGTAAAAATATAACAATTTAGAAAAAATGTTCGATGTCTTATGTTATTGTTTGTCTCTTTAAATTACTCGCGCTTTCCTCAGAGCTCAGGCCAAAATACGGTTTACCAAGTACATAGTACATACCAACAAACACAAAAAAGTACGCCGTGGATATTCATCCGACACCGAGTAAAAGATGCAAAGAAAGGACCACCGTTGCCACAGAATAAGAAGCTATAGCAGAAGCGTAACTCTAGTCGTTTCCCTTATGCACCTATCAATGTTTTCCCCCTGAGGGGGGGGGGGGGGGCAACCCACGGGAATTTTGACATTTTTAAAATTTTGTTGTCAAAATCCCCACTGTTGGGCAAGGAATGGCTGTCAAAATTCCCCACTATATTCCTAAGATAACAAGGCACACACATGTTTTCCAATGCGAACATACAGTCTATACTGGTTTAAACTTGGTAAAAATTGAGACACTGTGTATGAAACTTGATCGTGGGTGAAGGCCACTGGGTGAAGGCTATTTCAGATACGGTAGAGCACCTAGTCCCCAGGCCTTTACCAGCGCGACCGCGAAATTCAATATGGCGCCAAGCTAAGGAGTGGAGTTTAAATAGAGTTTATATTCTATAATTTCTATTGTTGTTTTTTGATCTTTTTATTCTTTTTGGTTGGTAGAACTTATATTCTGATATGCCAGGTATCTTACTCTTTACCTGATTAATCTGAAAAAAGATTTTATAACAGAATTTTTCTCAAACATAGTTTAAATTAATATCTATATGTTTCAGTGAATTATCCTTTAAAAGTAAAAAATAGATTGGCCAAGATAAGAAATTTTTGACACTTTCAACTTCAATTTTGAAAATTGTAATAACAGCCTAGTTTATATTCCATAATCCACAGAGCTTGAAAATCCATGCGGAATGTACAAATTAATGACTTTTCGAGTGAAGTTCTGTTTGAATTTTTCAGGTACTAAGTTATATATAGTTATCTTGCTATCGTCTCTATCTAGCCTGGCACAGACCGTTCAAGATTGCAGATTGCACTGTTTAATTAGCACCAACACTAACAGTCATGGTGGCAGGGATGGATCCAGCATGATCTGGTAGAAGGGGGGGGGGGTTGATCTGCCAGCTCTAATGCCGAGTTATGTTGGTCATGCATGCCACCCGCCCATCAACTTACAGGTCAAGTCTTGCTTGACTACTGTATTTGAATTGTAATTGTTGTTCACAGTTCGCTTCTTATCATGTTATCGATATCACTCAAATTACTGTATCTCATTTTGTCTCTAAAATATTTTTTTGCTTTATCATGAAAAATAGCACCCCCCCCCTGGCCAGGGCTAGGGAGGTGACCCCCCCAGTAAATCCATCCCAACATACAGTTGGGTTTATAGGGGGAGGGGAGGGGGGTTGACAGAGGTACACACCCTTGGCCAACAGGGGAGTGTAAAAATCGAAAGGGGGGGGGTGCACTACAAATTGAATTTACCATACATCTGAGCATTTGAGATATTGTATATAATATAGTATTACAATTATATTGCCGCCTTGTAACCTTAGATATTTCATGTGGTATGTGTAATTGGGGTTAGTATGCTAAGTATCTTACTCGTCAAGCAATGCCGGGTTCAGAGTCCTCACTTGTTCGCCTAGCAATCAACAATATACAATTTTAATGCCAAATTGTGTGCCAACATGCAAAATGGACTCTGCACAGGTTGTGCACTACCTTTTCATTTCATGCTGGGTGAACATTATCGTGATGATAGCAAAAAAAACATATTCACAACTAATGTGTCCTCTTTTACTACTTTTGTAATTGTCTTGTTTCATGACCTAAATAAGCTAACACACTTAGTAGCTCATGCTTACCTTTCAACCGGCACATTAGCAATGGCCGGCCCATTTTTCTTTATAGTGGTGTCAGGTGTGCAAGTTATTCAATAGGGTACTAACCTTGTATACAGGGCATTATAGAATTAAAAAAATCTGGGCAGGATGTTACAAGGCCATCGGAAGTAAATCAATATTGGGGGGACTCAAGAATATATCTGAATAAATTTTAATTGCTTTTGCACTTTTCTAGTTATTTTGTGTGTTTTGCTTATACAAATGGAAATTTTAGGGGGGGGGGGCTCAAGCCCCCCACTTCTGACGGCCTTGTGTTACATGTGACATTGCCAGCTGCCATTAATAGTTTGCAGAATTGTGAAAAATAAATCAATGCTGTAGATGGCAAATTTGTTTAAACAACATACACTGCAACAAATCATGATACAGACAAGCACATCCTGTATATGAGGCTTGCTAAGATGTGTAACAAACATTCAACATCAAACAATTTAGTTATTGTCACATAAAAGAACACATAATAGAGTAAAACCTTATATGAATATCATATCTGTAAAGAATTCAGATATTCAAGTACTTCAGCAAGACATAAAAGAACACATAGTGGAGACAAACTTTATAATCAATCTCATGTTTTTCATTAACCAGGGATGGATCCAGCATGATCTGGTAGGGGGGGGGTTGCTCTACTAGCTCTGCATGGTGCCGAGTTGTGTCGGTCATGTGTGCCGCCCACCCATCAACCTGTTTCACTACTGCAAAGTCTTGCTTGACTACTGTATTTGAATTGTAATTGTTGTTCACAGTTGGCTTATCATCATGTTATTACTCAAATTACTGTATCTTATTGTG